CCTGTGCCGGCGGCTGCGCACGGAGCCGGTGAACTGTACCGGGCAGCCATGGTCCGTGGCTGGCCCTCAACCCCCGGGGCTGTGAAATACTGTCACGTTAGCTTAGAAACTGTTGATTGGCAAAAAGATAAGTGTTTTCTGGTGGTTCGGTGGTTTCTTCTGGAGTTTGTGGTAGACTTGTTTTCTTTGTGTTTCTAACCATCGTTACATGCTCGTCTGTAGTCCTCTGTCTCCTCCCCTGGTGTTTTTTTATTGAAACATGAGGTTTTTCCACTGCAAATCTCACCTTTCAGAACTCTTAAGGGAAAAAAAAAAAATCACGAAACCAGGACTGGGAACAGTGACCTGGTCCAGGGTCCTGTCCCCAGGGTGACAGCTCAGTCCCAGCAGCTCCTTGCAGAAATGGGGCTGTTCCTCCATCCTGGGCAAACCAGCCCTGACCCTGGTGATGGGCTCGGATGCTGCAGAAACGTTCCCTTCTAGCTGGGTCTTGTTTGCTGGTGAATTCGTGGCTGGTCTGTGCTTCTGTCAGCTGGGGATAGTTCAGTTCCTCTCCTCAGCTGCTGTTTGAACACGGCTCCGGCGCCCACTCTGCTGCTGTCTGCCTGGTAGGGTGCAGACCTTGGGTATAAAAATCCATGATAAAACCATGAGAATAGGGAATAGCAGAGGTTTTCTGTGGCTCCATCCATCTGGAAGAATATGGGGTTGCCATGGGTGAGCTCTGCCGGCGAGTGAGGTGGTCGGTGCCTCTTGGGTTTCGGGGTTTGTTGCCACGTTGCCTTGCGGGCAGGGATGCATGGGGTAGGGGACCTCCTACACATGTGCCACAGGGCGAGGTAGAAAACCAACTGGTTTGGGGTCTGGAGTGCAAGAAAATGGGGGCTGGTATTTCACGCTGCTGCAAAGCCACACGGGGAAAGGATGCCTTGTGAGAGGGTAGCTTGTCCCCACCTTCCCCGACCCACACCTGGGTCCTGGTGGAGGATATGGACACCCCGTGAGATGCTTGCTGGGAGATTGCTTTGCTAACCAGCTCCTCCCAGAGCCCCAGGTTTGGATCTGGAGCAGCACATGGCGACCAGCTGCTGGTGAGAAAGCCTCAGGTCCCCCAGCCTGCCTGTGACATTGTCCCCGTCCTCCCCGGGGCTGGCCAGGCAGGTAGCGTGGCCACAGGCAATGATATTTCTCTGCACTGGATGTGTCACTGGGTCCCCGGGCCACGTGTGTGCTGCCCTGCTACACTGGGCTCCGTCCTGCCCACCAGCAGGTCTGCTCGGGGAGTTTTCCTTGTCCCATGGCAGCGGGGATTTCGTACCGGCTGTGGCGATGCTGCCCGGTGCCAGGACCCACGGGCACGGAAACTGCCCTGGTTCTTCTGCAGCTTCCTGTCAGCTGCTATGGGCTCCAGAAATAGCCGCTGCTCAGCCCGCCCTGCAGCTGGGCAGCTCCCGCAGTCACCACCTCCAGCTGCTTGGGATGGGGCTGCCGGCTCCCTGCGTGGGGCCGTGGGCAATGGGGGGCTTGGCAGCACCCATGGAGCAGGAGGAAGGCAAGACCTATGAACAGATGCATCTCCCAAAAACAGACTGCGGCTGAGGCCGTGCATAATTACCTGCCGCCGAGGCGGGCGTTAATTGCCGCTCCAGTTGCAGATGCTGCCAGGTGGCAGTTGTCATCTGGAAAGTCCCTGCCGCTCCCTGGCAGGCAGGTCATCTAAACTGGTGATCAGCCCGGATCGCTCGTGGCATGAGCATTAGTCTGAGGTCGAGACAGTTTCGGGTACAGGCTTCCCCCCTTCCTCTTTCAAAATGGTCCCCTGTTGGTCCCTTCCTGCTCACAAGTGCCCAGCTGCCTTGGCTGGGTGCAAGAGCACTTTGGGGTGCCCACGGGTGCTCCCATGGTGCCCCCTGGCAGCTGGCTCTGCAGGCATCACCCCAGCCCCAGCTTGCATCACCCCCAGGGCTGTGTCAGCTGCCACGCTGCCCTGCCTTGTAGTGAGCCGGCATTGGGCAGGGAGTGTGTATGTTTGATAAGTTGGGCTGTAATTCACAGCAGCTTTGTCACCCCCAGGAGATGGATGAGACCTGGGGCTGGGGTGTTGCCCAGCTGTCCCCAGGCCAGACCTCAGCAAGAGGGAGGCCTTGGGCCACCCACAAATACAAGGAATTAAAGCAAATAGCGTGCTGCGTGCGGGTGTTTCCTCTCCTCATACTTTGCTCCTGGCCCGGCACATGCCGGGCTGTTCCCCATGTCCCAATTCAGGAAGCTGTGCCGTTGGCAGCTGGTTTCTCTGGCTGAGCCGGAGGGCAGAGCGGGTCCCTGCCCGGCTGCTGGGGCTTTTGTACC